AAATAGGAGCACTACATTCACTGCTAGAGTAGTAGAAGACATGCTAGTGAGAGTAGATAAGCTAATATTCCTTGCAGATTTCTACATTCTGGACATGGCAAAAGAGTCTAGCATGCCTACACTGATCCTTGGTAAACCTTTCTTGAAAACAACAAGGACAAAGATTGATGTGCACTCAGGAATTCCATCCATGGAGTTTGGAGACAATATTATGCAGTTCAACATCTTTGAGGCCATGAAGCATCCATCAGAGCTGCATAGTGCATTTCATATAGATATTATTGATGTTTTAACTTAGGAGTTTTGTACTAATTTTTCTGATATTTCTAATTGTTCATGCATTGTAGGATATTTGTGTAAAATTTTGCTGAAATAGATGTATATTTAATAGCTGATGATGTTTCATGTGATGCAACAACAGGTTTGGAAAGTTGTAGTTTGATGCATGCTGCAGAATTAAACTTCTCCACCAGGACACTTCCTTCTATTATGCAGCCTCCCGCACTTGAACTGAAGTCTCTGCCCAAGCACTTGAAGTATGCATTTTTAGAGGCTGATAACAAGCTGCCAGTGATTATTTCAGTAGATTTGGATGATGCACAAGAGGAGAAGTTGTTGCAAACTTTAGCAACTCACAAGTAAGCAATTGGGTTGACTTTGGCAGACATTCCAGGAAGTAGCCCATCCACTTGTATGCACATAATTCTACTGGGTGAAGATGCAAAACATATGAGACAGCCCCAAGAAAGGATGAATCCCACCCTCCTAGAGGTAGTGAAGAAAGAAGTTGGTAAATTGTTAGCTGCTAGAATGATATACCCAATCTTCGATAGTGAGTGGGTGAGTCTGATTCATGTTGTATCTAAGAAGACTAGTATAACAGTCACAAAGAACCAATTTGATGAGCTGATTCTGACCAGAATTCAGAATGGGTGGCGAGTCTGTATTGATTATAGGAAACTGAATCATGCCACTTGTAAGGACCATTTTTCCCTGCATTTATTGATCAAATCTTGGAGCGGATAGTAGGAAAATCCTATTACTACTTTCTAGACGGATTTTCTGGTTACTTTCAAATACACATAGCCCTAGAGGATAAGCATAAGACTACCTTCACTTCTTCTTTTGGTATCTTTACTTATAGACAAATGTCATTCGGACTGTTGAATGCACCTGGCACTTTTCAGAGGTGTATGATAAGCATATTTGCGGACTTCCTAAAGACCTCACTTGAAGTATTCATGGATGATTTTACTGTTTATGGGTCTTCATTTGGTGTATGTTTAGATAGCTTGTCTAGAGTATTAGATAGGTGCACACAGTTCAATTTGGTTTTAAATTATTAGAAATGTCATTTTATGATGACCGAAGCGACTGTACTAAGGCATGTAGTGTCAAGTAGAGGTATTAAGACTGATAAAGCCAGGATTGATGTAATTGTTTCTTTACCTTACCCTACTTTTGTGAAAGAAGTACACTCTTTTCTTGGCCATGCAGCTATCGATAGGCGCTTCATCAAGGATTTCAGCATAATCATGTCCCCATTATAGACCCTTTTGCAGAAAGATGCTGATTTCATCTTTGATCAGACCTGTAATAACGCTTTTGATGAGCTGAAGAGACGCCTCACTTCTACTTCAATCATTCAACTTCTGAGTTGGGAGATTCCGTTTGAGCTTATGTGTGATACTTTAAACTTTGTAGTTGGTGTTGTCCTGGAGAAGCAACCAAATGTCATAGCCTATGCTTCTTGGACATTGGATAAAGCACAAGCAAACTACACCACTACAGAAAAAGAACTTTTAGCTATTATTTTTGCTTTAGATAAATTTTATTCATATTTACTTGGCTCTAAAGTAATTATTTTCTCTGATCATGCAGCTCTGAGGTACTTGCTTAAAAAGTCATATTCTAAACCGAGACTAATTCATTGGATGCTTCTTCTGCAAGAGTTTGACATTGGGATCAAAGATAGATATGGTGCAGAAAACCTAATGGCAGACCATTTGAGCAGAGTTCAGCAACCACTGGAGGATCTCTCCATTAGAGACACCTTTATAGATAAGCAGCTTTACCATTTTATGACTTTGATGGATTGATTGAATCATTCTTTGGTTTGATAGGTGGACTTTGATATATTGTGTGTTTGATTATTTGTGATAGAATACATACCTTGTAAGATTTTGAGCAGTATAGATGACAATATCATATCATTTTACTTTCTTTCATTGTGTGATTGCACTCATTGTTGTATGACATTAGAACTTACCTTGAGCCTTTTTTAGACTATATTTTCATATGCTTGCATTAACATGATAAATGCATCATTTCTTTCTTACAACTACTAACCAAAAAGCCAACCTTACATTATTTTCATTGTTTAAGCCTCCTTGAGCCTAATTGTCCTATTTCTTGTGATCTTAGCTTATTTTAAGCTATAGGTGTAATACAATAAAATGACCAAACTTTAAAAGATATAAGAACTTTGGAATTAGTTTGGAAATGATCATAGAAATAAGTGTGAGAAAGATTACTTTAGAAAATGCAAGAGAAAAGAAAAATCAGCTACTAAAAAAAAAGAGAAAAAAAGAAAAAGAAAAAGTAAGCAATGAAAAGGAAAAGGAGCATTAGATGGCTAGCAAAAGTAAAAGATGATTGTTTTTAGATTGTATTACATTATATTTTTGTTTAAAAGATTTACTTTCATGCTTACTTTTTTTGAATTCATTTCTCATTGTTCTTATATCCTCTTTGATTTTAGCTTAATCACCTTTGTAATTTTTTCACCTTCACTATGCCCCTTTATAACCTAGAAAAATTCTCTTGATTTTTGTGTGTATGTGTGAATTCTAGCAGAGAAGTAGGCAATGGACAAGATTATGGATGATCGTACTTCATGTTGTGCATTTTGAGTGACACACTTTACCTTATACACTTGAGTGATCGAGAGAATATTGTGTGAGGATTCTATCTCTTATGGTTCATTCACTTGATTTGATATGTTCATTAGTTAATTTGAAGTGTGAGGATTGATTTCCATTATAGCCATGTTATTTGAACTTGATGGGCTTTGTACATATCCTAATTTGTTTTAGGTCCCCTATGGTTTGATTTTGTGATTTCTCCCGGAGGGCAAAATCTTAAGTGTGGGAGAATTTGATGTGACATATTTTATGTTTATATTTATAATTTTATTTTGATTAATAAACACTTTTTATATGCTTTATTTTTAGAGTTTTTATCATTTTCTAGTTATTTGAATAAATTGGACTTGTTACGAATAAATGCTTTTATTTTATATTTTTGATTATTGTGACCTCTAAATACTCTTTTGGCCATAACTTTTTTATAGATATTATTTTTAGTTGATTCTAGTTGCATTAGATTCTACACATTTAGGGCTTCAAAATACATATAAGGATCACTAGATTTAGAGTTATTTTTTATTTTTTATGATTTTTTAAAATTGAAGCAGATTTGCTAAATGTTGTTGTGCGATTGCATTTAGACTCTTGTTATTTAATAATTGTATTAGGCTTTTAGATATTATCGAGGCCTGCATTTTGGTTGCTTAATTTACTTTAATCAGAACCTATAAATAGACTAATAAGATTCTGAATAGGAGGGTAATTAGACACTTTGAGATTTTGAGAATTGACCGAAATAAAAATTCTTATTTTTACTTTCTCTCGAACTCTCTCATTCTTTTCTCATTCTTGCGTGAGTTAAGCATTTTGATGGAAGGCTAAACCTCTTGTTCAATCTGCAGAATTCAAAGATTGTAAATTTCAACTTGAGTTATGCACTAATTGTTCCGAGTTTGTTCTCTTTTTCTCTCTAATATCAGAATTGTTTATTGTGATCGCAATTGACTTTTCTGTCGTTAGATTTCAAATTAGGATTCGATTGATGCTCTAATTTGATAATTAATGCAAATTAGGTTAAATGATTATTTGATTTAATTCATAACTCTATTCAATTAGGTTATTCAATTGAATTAATAATTAAATTGGGTGATTATTCGAACGTGGATTTAAATCTTTAGATACTGTGATAGTTGGAGTTACATGCAATTAATATTCTGTAGATTGATATTTCTTAATTCATTTTATTCACTTTAATTTTATCCATAATTTAATTTAATTAATTTAAAATTTTCAAAATCTCAAAAAACCTTATTTGCATTTTTTAAAAGAAAACCTAAAATTGAATTTGACTAAAAATATGTCTCCGTGAATCGACCTAAGTTTGGCTCTATATTACAAAACTTTTAGAAAATTTAGTTATTTTGATAGCGACTCAGCATCGTCTATCACTGCCTCCCAAATGAAAAGAGGCACATGCTATTATGTTGTTGGATGGAGCAAGTTCGATTAATGTAAGACCACATCAATATCCTCATCATCACAAGAATGAAATTTAGCAACAAGTAAAGGAGTTGTTGTAGGCTGGAATGATTAGACCAAGTCAGAGTGCTTTCTTTAGTCTGGTTATTTTAGTAAAAAAAGAAATACACCTCTTGGAGGATGTGTGTCGACTATCATGCTTTGAACAAGGTCACCGTTCCTAATAAATTTTTCATCCTAGTTATTGATGAATTACTGGATGAACTTCATGGTGCAAAATATTTTTCCAAACTGGATCTCAAATCTAGATTTAACCAAGTCAGAGTCAGGGAGAAGGATGTGCACAAAATGGACTTTAGGACTTATGAAGGCCACTACGAATTTTTAGTAATGCCCTTTGGTTTGATGAATGTCTCCTCAATATTTCAAGCCCTCATGAATTTCATTTTCAAGGATATGATGCATAAGTTTGTACTTGTGTTTTTTGACAACATTTTGATTTATAGCCCAGATTGAGACTCTCATTTGGAGCATACAGTCAAGGTGCTGCAACGGTTTCAAGCTGAACAGTTAGTTGCAAATAAGAAGAAATGTTCTTTTGCCCAAACATCAGTTAACTAATTGAATCATTTAATCACTAAAGATGGGGTGGCAATGGATCCTAGTAAGATTCAGAGCGTTTTAGAGTGGCCTGTTCCTATTAATGGAGTTCGAGGTTTCCTTGGATTAACGGGTTACTATTGCAAATTCATACGAGATTATGAAAAAATTTCTAGGCCATTGACTGCTCTTACAAAGAATGATGGGTTCTTTTGGTCGAGTGAAGCACAAAAGGAGTTTGAGTTACTTAAAGAAAAGATGACCACTAGGCCAGTTTTGGCCTTACCAGACTTTTCCAAAGAATTTATCATCGAAAGTGATGCCTCCAGGCTTGGTTTGGGAGCGATCTTAATGCAAGAGGGGCGTCCCGTGTCTTATTTCAGCAAGACTCCTGGGGAAAGGAATCTAACTAAATCAGCCTACGAGAAAGAGCTCATGGTCGTGACTCTAACTATCCAACATTGACGTCTCTACCTTCTTGGCCGTAGGTTTGTTGTGAGAACAAATCAGAAAAGTCTCAAGCAATTAATGCAGCAGTGTATTACCACTAGTAGTCAGTAGAACTGGATTGCCAAGCTCCATGGTTACCAATTTAACATTGAGTATAAGCCTAGTCAGGAGAACAAGGGGGCTGATACTCTATCCTGTATGTTTGGAGATTTAGAACTCAATTCTATGCTCCATACACCTAGCTAGATGGGAAGCAAGGAATTGATTGAAGAGGTGCATAAAGATGCCCATTTACTGCAAATTATTTCTGCATTGCAGCACTAATAGCCCACCAAACCAGGATTCACCTATACTAAAGGGGTTCTGTTCTATCAAGGGCGTTTGGTAATATCTAACCAATCTGCTTGGATACCTACCTTGTTAAATGAGTTCCATGCCACTCCACAGGGTAGTCATTCTGGTTTTTATAGAACTTATAGAAGGGTGGTAGCCAACCTATTTTGGTTCAATATGAGACGTTTAGTTTCAAATTTTGTGCAAGAATATGACACTTGTCAATGCCAAAAATACTTAGTTGCATCCCCTACTGGCTTGTTACAACTATTGCTACTTCCAAAATAGATTTGGAAAGAAATATCTTTAGATTTCATCACTGGGCTTCCAAAATTTAGAGGGCTTGACGCTGTTTTAGTTGTGGTGGACCAGTTGTCAAAATATAGTCATTTCATCCCTCTAAAACACCTTTACTCTGCTAAAACAGTTGCTGAAGTATTCACTAAAGATGTGGTGAAACTACATGGGATTCCTGCTTCCATTTTAAGCGATAAAGACCTTATTTTTGTTAGTAGTTTTTGGAAAAAGTTGTTTAAAATGCAGAGGACACAACTAAAAATGAGTACCGCTTATCATACTTAGACCGATTGACAAACTGAGGTTGTAAACATGTGCCTTGAGACCTACTTGAGATGTTTTATTGCTGACCAACCTAAATCTTGGGTTATCTGATTGTCGTGGACAGAATTTTAGTATAATACCACCTTTCATGCATCTACTGGTAGTATATGGACAGACACCCCCGGTACTAACTTGGTTCTTGCCCTGTGAAATTAGGGTGAAGGCAGTCGGGAGAGAGCTTAAGGATAGAGATAAGACCTTTAAGTAGCTCAAGTTACATTTAAACCGAACTGAAAGCTCTATGAAGGTTCAAGCTGATAAGACAATATGACATAGGTGAGAAGGCATTTCTAAAACTCAAGCCTCATGGTCAGCAATTTATGGGTGCAAGAATTTGCCAAAATTATCCCCTCGCTAATATTGTCCTTTCACTATCTTGAGCAGGGTAGGGAAGGTTGCTTAACGACTTCAATTACCCCTAAAGTCTCGCATTTACCCCGATTTCCACGTTTCCCTCCTCAAGAAAGCTGTCGGAAACTACTCAGAAAATGATAATTTACCTACTGATTTGGAAGGGGATCTCAATTCCCCTTTGGAGCCTACTGCTGTTTTGGCCTCTTGGGTCGTCACTAAGAAATGGGTGTTAATTCCTCAACTGCTGATCAAATGGAAGGGAAAACCAACTGAAGAGGCTATTTGGGAGGAGAAGTACAACACCAGTAGTCAATTCCCTCACTTCAAGCTTGAAGACAAGCCTAGTTTTCATCGAGAGGAGTATGATAGGCCCTTAATTCATAAAGAAAGCCAAAATACATTTTTGTTTAAGAATTTCTTTAAGCCCCTAATTTAGAAAGTATACGAGAGAAAGAAAAAGAGAGAGAGGTTAGTAGTGGCCAGGTGGCACAGTAGAGTTGGTATGTAGGGATAGTTTTGTTATAAGGAAAGAATGAGGAGAAAGAAAGGGGGGGAGCAAGAATTAAGTTTTGTTGGTAGAGGCAATTGTGCATTCTAGGAGAAACATAGCTATAGAGAATTACTCAAATTCTCTGACTTATTGTTTTTATTTTCGTAATTAATACATACCTCATTTTCTTTTTATCTCAATACCAACTTTCACTCCTTTTCTTTTTATGTTACTCTTATATTCATCATTTTGCTCTCTATAGATTCCTAACACAAAATAGCAAGAAATATATTTTAAATGTAAAATCTTTGTTGCCTGCTAGTGAATCTGCAAATCCTGCATCTTAATTTGCTTTGACATGAAGTTTCTGTCCTGACACATGTAAATCATGTTTTTCTTGAAACTTTCTTGTGTTATTTCATTTCAAATGTATATCTTGATTGCTTTATACTTCATAGCTTCAACTAGATTTGTTAGAGCATATTTTAATATCTGAATTATGAAGAGTTTAATCACTCTTTCTATTTCATGCTATATTACAACACTTTACACAGTTAGTCCCAAATCCAAATAAAAGTACATTTATGTAATTAAGATTAAATTAGTTTAAAAAATCTAGATCAATATTAAACTATTTTTTTGATTAACTACATCTTTATAAATGGTTACTGTCACACATTCACTTTCTAAAACTAAATTTTTTTATTTATCCAAATCTATATATATGAAAGTAGTATCTTGTATCTTTACTTATTAAATCTCTGCGCTATATAAGTTTACAAAATTTTATTGTAATTATATTTTACCACTAATATTTTTTTATTAATCTTAATTCTTATAATTAAAATAAAATATTTAAAATAATATTTATAAAATATAATTATTGTATTAAAGATATTAAAATATAACAAATATTTTTAAGTTATTTACTATTATTGTTTTTATATTTATATTTATTTTTTATTTTTTAAAATATTATAACATAATAATTTTATTATTATTTATATTATTAACTTTTATTTTTATAGGTTTTAATTTAAACTTTCATCATCAACTCCGTTTATTAAAAATTATTTAAAAAAAATAAATATGTTATAAATTTCTATAAAATATAATATAATTAATAAATATTACAATTTTTTTTAAACAGACTAATTTAATATAACGTTACATACAACAAATTAGTTTTATCTTAAAAACAAAATTTATAAATATATTGAAAATTAGTTGTATTAAAATATTAATTTAAAATTAAATTTAAAACTAATTTAACGTAAAACTAAATTTAAAACTAGTTTAAAAAAATTTTAAACCGATTTTATGTGATAGATAGATGATAAAAAAGTAAAATATATCTAAATATTTATTAGTTTAATAAAATAAAAAAATATATATTATTAATAAATTAAAATATATGAAAATATTCTTTTCACATATGTTGTTAGTTCTTGTAGAGATGTAATGAAATAGAGTACTTCTTGTACTCATATTTTATCTTTAATAAAATGTTAATGCTTAATAAAAAAGTATATATATATATATATATATATATATATATATATATGTGTGTGTGTGTGTAATGTTATATTACTTATTGTAAAATTTAAATATTTTTTAATATAATAATTTAATAATAATATAAAAAATATTTATAATATATTTTTACCAGATTTAAAATTAGTTTTAACCTACATTCAAAATTTAAAACTAAATTTAAACTAATTTTTAAAAAAAATTAATTTATACTCCAATTCATATAATTAGATTTTAAATAGATTTAGATTAATTTTTTAAAAATTTAATCTATGCTCATCATTAATGCAACCTACGTGTTGGAGACCCACCGTCGGAGACCTGAACCAAAGGCAAACAAGAGGTTCCTACTCTCTCTCTCTCTCAAAGTCTTAAATTAAAGATTTAAGGTTTAGGGTTTAAAGATTATGAATTATTATGTTTAGAGATGAAAACAGGTCAGGTCAAGCTTTATTTTGAACAAGCTAGGCCTGTAACATAATTATTATGACTAAGTCTGACCTGTTATTTATTAAAGGCTTTATTTCTAGCTTGACCTGACTTATATAGGTGGTCTAACCTAGTCTGAAGACTGTTACAAAAAAAAAATCTTAATATTAATAAAAATATAATTATTTTATTATCAAATTAGTTTACATATTTTTAAATTTTTATCAGTATTATTGATAATTATTAAATAATTATAACAATTTTTTTATATAATTTTATAAATAATTTTTAAAATATTATTTGAGTATTACCTATAAATATTTTCATATTATAAAATTTTTATATTTTTAATTTAATTTTACAAAATTTTTAAAGCATTAAAGATTAATTATTTTTTTTATGATAATTATATTTTGTTTGTATAAAGACATCTTATATTTAATAAATAAAATCACAGTAACAAAAAATAACACTCACAAATTTTGTTGAGTCAGTTAAAAAAAAATTATTATATTTAAGAAAAGTAAATAAATATCCTCATTTTAAAAATTATATATAAAAAATATTTACATTATAAAATTCAGAGATACAGAAAAATAACATATGAGCATAATAAGAATTAATAAAATTTATATTCAAATTAAAATAACTTATATTTCTAAACTTTTATTTAATAAAAAAATATGTGATAAAGCTTAATATAAAAATATAAACTCAATACAAAATATATATATATATATATATATATATATATATATATATGTATGTATATATGACAATAATAATAACTGTCAAATAAAAAAATAATTATAAAATATTTAATTTTATTAATTTTTTATTTTAAATAATAAATATACGTAAAATTAATTACACTATAACATCAATGTATTATTAAAAATATTATTGATATAATACATTAAAACATATATTTACATATTATATACAAATTGATAAATTAAATAATAATATAATTTTTTATTTATGTAAATATTTATTAAATATTAAATTTTAAATGTATATTAATAATTATATTTTTTTTATAAAAAATATATTTATATAAATGTCAAATTTATTAAAAATAATTTTTAAAATTTGACATATTTATATTTAGGTGTGTGGCTGTGAACTGTGAATTTGGTATATAAATTTTTTATAAGTACTTTATTCAAAAACTTTATACCAATAAAAATAAAACTAGTAAATTACAAAAAAAAAATATTATTATATATAATTTATTTAAAATTATATTATTTAATATATGATCTTATTATATATATTGTATATTAAATTTTTTATTTTATTTTTTATTTTTTTTATAAATTTTAGTTTCGAATAAAATATAATTTATATTAAAATAATTTTTATTTATTATAAAAAAAAATTAAACATAATATATTAATATAATAATTAAATATTAATAATAATAAATTAAGAATATAAAAATATATTAATATAATATTATTATTTTAGTTGTAAATTTTATTTCTTTTATTTTTTATTACATCTTGTTCCTGTTAAAAAAATAACTATTTTTTAATTTATTTAAATATAACAAATATAATAATTTATTATTAAATAAATTTATTTTTAAAAAAATATAATCATATATAAATATTTTTAACTTTGAATATAATTTTTATTTAATATAATTATAAATAAAAAATATATTATTAAATAATTTTATTATTATATATATTTTAACAGTTTTATTTTTAAATTATATATATATATATATAAACAAATTTAACAAATTTTATAAATAATTTAAATTTAATTTATTTATTTAAATAGATTTTGAAAAGACCTAAACTTTATTTATTTATTAAAAGAACTAGGTCAAGCTTGATCTGTTCCCATCTAAGTGTGCTATGTGCTACTCCGTACGTTGAGTCCCTCTCTATCTCTCTCTCTCTTTTCTTTCTCTTCCTTTGTCGTCTTCTCATGGCCTCTTCTGTTCAATAATAATAGTTTAATAACAAAAGGAAAAATAAAAAAATAAAAATTGAACGAGGAAGAATCATCGTTGTCATCGTCGTCAGAACTAACGCTTCCCAATCAAACCCTCCCATTCGAATCCAGGAATCCCCTTCTGGTAATAATTTCTCCATTTCTAAACTCTTTAATTCCTTGTTTCCCCTTTTAATCTCATCCTCAATTTTCTTCGGTAATGCTTATGCTCGCGATGATTATGATTTAAAAAATCCCCCTTTTTTTAGGGTTTTGAAAGATGTGTGTATGAATTTGGGTTTTTCCGTTGGCAAGTTCTTGCATCTCTTTTTTCCGTTTTCTGGGTTGGAGGATAGCGTCGACCAATTAGGGTTTTTTTTTTTATCTTGAATTTCGCTTCTTTATCTTTCTGCCTTTGTCTAAATAATTTTTTTTTTCAATCCTACCCTTTTGGAATATTTAATCGATTCGATTTCTTATAATTTTAATTTTCATTTCAATCTCGTGATTTTTAAGATTTGCCTAGTATTATCATATTGTATGAGTGCCACTGTTGTAATGTTTTTGAAATTTTTAGCATCTTTTTTTATTTTGAAGGTATGTTTGGACTTTTTTTTAATCAATAATCCTTTAACCAAAGAAAAAAGTACCCTGTTTTCGCCTTTCCGTGTTGCAGCTGAAAGCAAAGGGCACAATGAGTTCGTCCATCCTCAGAGATCATCAACGTGAATTGGAGAGCAAAGCCAACGATTTGAGCAAGCTTCAAAAGGGCAAGCTTACTATTACCCCTTATTCATTTACACCTTCCTAATTCCTTCAGCGGATCACCTATTTCTTTTTTCAGAAATTGCGAAGAATCATCAAGTCAGAAAGAAGTACACAGTCCAGCTTGGCGAGAACGAGCTTGTTCTTAAGGTACCCTTTTTCTGTTATGAATCTTAAGGTACCCTTTTTCTGTTATGGATGTAAAATCCTACTTTTTTCCCTTGTTACTTAATGTCCATCTTTTGGGTCCTTTTTTTTAATAAGGAACTTGATTTATTGAAAGAAGGTGCAAATGTTTACAAGTTAATTGGCCCAGTTCTTGTTAAGCAAGATTTGGCTGAGGCCAATGCAAATGTCCGCAAGAGAATCGAATATATCTCTGCCGAATTGTAAGTTTTATTTATTTATTATTTTTTAATTTTCCGAGGTATTGAGGTTTCTTAAATGTGCTTTCAAATTTAAATTTATCTTGGCATTGTTTAATCATTTAGTTAAATTCTGTTGCTACCATACTCCACTGATATGTCTTTCGAGAGAATTGTTAGATAAAAAATGAGTAAGTTATTCATGTGGCAAAGAGTTACTAGTTAACACTTTTACTTAGAAACTATGTGCGACCTGTCCATCCTGGGTCTGATGAAGAGTTTCTTACTACATTTTTTTAATTTCTTCTGATAGAGGATGAAGTGACTTTTGTTTTCAGTTGTTACCTAGTAAGAGTCAGATGCACTCTGTATTACATGTGGTGAAGTTGTTCCTGTGACTAGAATCTGTGACCACCTGGTTTGAAGGCAACAACCTTACTTTTGTGCCAAAGCTCACCTTCATCCTTCTTTATAGTATTGCTAATATAGCATTTAATTTCTCCATGTTCCATATAATGCTGGTTGATTTGATATTGGTTTTGTCTCCTTTGACGTTGACAATAAACTGGTTTGGAATAGCTTGTTGTTATATGTTATCCATTTGATTTTGAAAATTCATTTTGTAACTTTCGAAATGTAATAATTCTTACATGATATTTTGAATGCAAAATCTTTGTTGCCTGCTAGTGAATCTGCAATCCCTACATCCTAATTTGCTTTGACTTGACACATGTAGATCATATTTTTCTTAAAACTTTCTTGTGTTATTTCATTTCAAATGTATATCTTGATTGCTTCATACTTCATAGCTTCAACTAGAATTTTTAGAGCATATTTCAATATCTGAATTCAGCGCTATGCCAAACAAATTCTGCATGAGATAGCATATAATCTTCTTGGAAGATCTAGGTGCAAATTATGTAGAGTTTGATCACTCTTCCTATTTCATGCTTCATTACAACACTTCACATAGTTGGTCCCAAATCCAAATAAAAGAGTAGGGTTGTGTTAGGCAGTCAACTAGGCCCAAATCTTTATGACATGGACAGAACAAATGCTACCAACATTTGTTCTCTTTGCCCCCTCCTTCCTCTCATTTGTGATCTTGTCATCTCTTTGGTATGTTCAACATTTTTTAAATTTTATTATAACCATCACAAGTGTATGTGGTCTGTGTCAGGAAGCGTCTTGATGCCACTGTTCAAGATTTGGAAGAGAAGCAAAATAGCAAGAGAGATACGGTTTGTAACTTTTCTCTGCTTAGGTTTTTTGATATGGTTTCAGCTTGTATATGTATTTTTTCATTGCATCTGTTTTTTTTATTAAGGCTCCGTTTGGATGAGAGCTGAAACAAAGAAGAGAGAAATAGGGAGAGAAATATGAAATAGAGTGTAAAATCAATTGATATTGGATGTGTTGAAACGAGAGAGAAGAAAATAATAATACAAAAGATGTTACTACTTACTTAGATGAGTAAAAATAATAGTGAAAAGAAATGATTAAATTATATTAAAAATAATCATAAATTTTTTTATGTCTTTATTACAATATTTTTCTTAAAGTATTTAAAATTTTTAAATTTTTTATATTATTAAATATTTTAATAATTTAATTAATAAAAGGAATAAAATAAAAACTTACCCAGGTTCCCCTTCACCTCCAAATTGGGTTTGTTTTGTGATGGGACTCGTAAAATATTATGTTACCCTCTCCCATCCTTCCCTCAACTAAAACATGGGAAATAACTTTCCTTACCTCTTTTTTCGTAAACAGAGTTCAAGATAAGCCACATTTCAATATCCAAATTTCAAAATTTCTTTTCATTTTGAAAAATATTCATTTTTATATGGTTTTGAGGAATAAATAAAAAATTGATTGATTGTATGACATGTTAATGCTGCTATGATTCATGAAAAAGCATTCTTGAAAAATATTGAAATTAATTGTATTAAGTTTCAAGGCTGGATACAATTTTTCGTGTAAAGAGCTCCTGGAAAAGAATTACAAAATTATATTTGGTGGATCCTAGAGGTCATATAGGCCTCTAGCAAAATACATGTAGACCCTCCTCGAAAAATTAAATCCATATAACGTATGCGAGTGAATTATTTTGGTTGATAAGATCTTAGCTTGTTATTGGGAACAGAGAATAATGTTATGTTTTATATTCGCTTTGAATTTGTATGTGTCCACTTGCATGCCTTGTTGAAGTATCGATTGAGCTACATGGAACCTATAAATGATAAATCTAGTCTATTTCTTTTGTGATGTCGCAGATACTAAAATTGCAACAAAAGATTCAATCTCTTCAGGCTGGAAAAGGCAAGGCATAGTCTTCCCAAGCATATTGTTTAAGCGTGGTAACTTGTAATTTAGTTGTGCTAAGGTTGGATGTGCATTTTTCGTTGTGCCTCTTTGTTTTGGACTGAAGTTTACTCTTTAGCTACGTGCTCCTGGAAATCGTTTGGGGTATTAAAGTATGACAGTTGGCTTTAATCTCTCTCTATATATCTACATGCTTTCTTCGCTCTAGTTGTAGTCGAAACAATTTTTTTTTTTACTTGAAATTATCCAATCAAGTCAAGTACAATAAAGACTAGATCAACTTAGTAATTTAAATTGTTGGAAATGTTAATTTCATCATTCCTACACTTAATAGTCTATTATAGCTGTTGCCAGATAAAGAAAAAAGGCACTGTGGAAGAAGGCAAAAAAAAACAAAAGATGATGAGGGGCTTTATTGTTCAAAAATATTAAAGTTAGGGATGAAAATGAGATATTTTGCATCTATTTAGCTTTGCAGTATGAAGATTAATTAAATCTATGGATGTTAACTTTCAAATGTCACTAGAATGAGTCTAATTGAATATTTGTAGGCTAAAATATAACTCAAATATTGCATGATATTTAGAATCTATATTTGTCTCATTCTCTTTCAATTTAGGTCCAAATTCTAACTCTAAACGGTTTGAATTCAGTTTCTTATTGTTTTTTAAGAATTGTAGGTCCATCTTTTAACTTTTCTACAAAATAATAATTACATTAAAATAATATCTACGCCTCAAGTTATAACTTATATACTAAATAATATCAAAATCTTTGTCATACTAAAATAATTAAATTAAGATCTATTCAAAATTTAAATTACAAAATTTATCTAAATAAATTTAATTATATTTAATATATATATATATATATATATATATATAAATTAAATTCATTAGCTCATTTCACTCTCCCTTACTTTTGTTACACATTTATTTATAATATAAAGTCATCAAAATTAGATAATAGTTATTTAAGTTTATTATTTTTTTAATAGAATTTTTAAAAATAATAAACTTAAATAATTATTACCAAATTTTAAGATAATAAAAATTTAAAATAAATTTAAATACATTAAGTGACAATTATTTAAAAAATATAAATTACTAAATTTTAAATTATAGATATATAATTAAATTTTATCTTTTTATATTTATTAGTTAATTTAAAATTGAATTTTATAAAATATTTTAAATATATTCAATTTTGCAAACTTTTATATTCATTATCTGCTAAATTTGTCAATTATCTTTATGTGACGAATGGTGAATTAGTTACAAAAATTAAATCTGTTTGTAAAGGAATCGTGGTTTTTGGAAAGAAAGTACCAACAAAATTAAGGTGTAATTGCATCATACTCCCATATCGTCATATCGAGTTATAACTTCTTCCGGGGCATAATGGAATTTTGCACCTAAGGCTTTTTTTTTAATCTATTTCATTGATGCAAAATTATAATAAAGCATCATTAAATTGAGCAGTTAGTCTTAAAGAATATTACTTCTTTCAATTTAAAATAATTATCACTTCAAAACTTTGAATAAAAATTAAAAATCATTAAATGCTTTTAATTTTAAAGAAATTAAATTTATTTAATTATATTAATTTTTCACTCTATTAATGATCTTTTATTTTGTTTAATAAATTTGATAAAAGAAAAAAAAAACAGAAAAATAACATTAATGTATTTATATTAAAAAGTGCTAGATTCTTAAATAAATTGAAATATTAAAAAAAATTAATTAATTATATTAACAATATACATTTTTTAATACCATTAATTAATTATAAATTATCACATTTTTAAAACAAATATTAATTTTTACAATAATTATTTTTAAACTTGTACCTAAATTACTAATTAATAATATAAAAATATTTAGAATAAAAATAAAACTCAAATGATAATTCATCATACAGAAATACAAAATATTAAATTTAGACAATTACATTATTTAATAATTTTTTATCAAAATTAATCAATTTAACTATTAATTTGATTAAGCTTGCATTTCAAGTTTCTAATTTTAATTTATGATGTTAATACATCTACCTCTATATTTAAAAAAGGAATTAGTATTTTTAAAAGTTCATTTTTTAAACATTTTAAATTTTTACAACTGAATATCTTCAGAAAATTATTATTTTTAAATTCTCAAAGATTAAAAAAATAAATTTTTAAAACTATAATAATTTCTAAAGAAACAATAACAACAAACAAATAAAGCTTAAAACGTAAGAAGCTTATATATATATATATTAATTTGAATGACGCAAGAAGTAGAATTAGAAGCCCATACGGACAGGGGACACAAATGATTGAAGATACTAAAACAAAAATGGTGGCAATTTGTAAGAGAGTATATCTGAATCTCCATAGCCATATACTCACGAGATTTCACTTGTAATGGATTGATATCGGTCCTTAAGAAAGATGCATGCATAGTTCCTTTGTCACGAAATATCATTTTATAATAAATAAGATTAGAGAGAGTAATCTGAATTAAGAAATTTATGAGGAATGGAACCAACGTGGCAGCATCTGGCATGCGACCTACGTGTCGGAGACCCATAGTCTGAGACCCGAACCCAAAGGCAAACAAAAGGTCCCCACTCTCTCTCTCTCTCTCTCTCTCTCTCTCAAAGTCTTAAATTAGAGATTATGGATTACTGTGCTATGTGCTACTCTGTCCCTTTAATCCCTCTCTCTCTCTCTCTCTCTCTCTCTCTTTTCTTTCTCTTCCTTTGTCGTCTTCTCATTGCCTCCTTCTGTTCAATAATAATAGTTTAATAACCAAATGGAAAAATAAAAAAAATAAAAATTGAAAGAGGAAGAATCATCGTTGTCGTCGTCGTCAGAACTAACGTTTCCCAATCAAACCCTCCCATTCGAATCCAGGGATCCCCTTCTGGTAATAATTTCTCCATTTCTAAACTCTTTAATTCCTTGTTTCCCCTTTTAATCTCATCCTCAATTTTATTCGCTAATGCTTATGCTCGCGATGATTATGATTTTAAAAATCCCCTTTTTTTAGGGTTTTGAAAGATGTGTGTATGAATTTGGGTTTTTCCGTTAGCAAGTTCTTGCATCTCTTTTTTCCATTTTCTGGGTTGGAGGATCGCGTTGACCAATTAGGTTTTTTTTTTTTTTTTTAATCTTGAATTTCGCTTCTTTATCTTTCTGCCTTTTTCTAAAAATAATTTTTTTTTCAACCCTACCCTTTTGGAATATTTAATCGATTCGATTTCTTATAATTTTAATTTTCATTTCAATTCTCGTAGTTTCGATTTGGCTTATTCTTATTTCCCAGCTGAGTTGGGCATTATTGCATCCTGGGAATGTAGGGTTTGCAATTGTGAAGTTTCACCCTTTTGATGACATGGTTGATCTTGTTTCCCTTTTTTTTTTTTTTTTTAATCCTGATTACTGTCAAGCTCATGTAGTGTCTTAGCTTTGGTGCCATAGGATGCAGACATTGGGTGTTGCATCATTGCCCTCTTTGCTATGGATGAGAAATGACGGGAAAGTAAAAGCTTTGCATTGAGACAGACATCTTTGCACATCTAAATGCTTTAAGAGACACCATTCGCCAAACTACTTCTAACTGCTTTAGCTTATACGGTAGTTTGTTCTTGACATTGTGTCAAAGCCTCTTGAACTTTTACCAAACTGATTCATCACAATGTTTGTAATTACATTGAAAATTTCAGCACAAATTAAAGCGACTTGTGGCCAATTCTTAACAGCTTAAACATTTGGAGCAGTTGATGTTTTGAAAAATGCGTGATATGAGCAGACTTTCAAGCTCTTGCTAATGTTGTTGCATTAAGAGTATCGGTTGTCAAAACTGTCACTGAACTTGTCAACCAGGTGGCCTGAATCGTTAAGACTTGGTTGTGGTGTGATGTTAATCATGGGGTTTCAATCCTACACAAGGCCACCTTTCCCCCCTCCCCATGTTCTTGTACCTTCTACATAACCCCCAAAGCATATTGACATTTTTCTTCTGCCTCTACCAAAAGTTTCACAACAATGTGGCTACACATATCACATCTTATTTAACTTAGTGTATCAAGAATCAAATAGTTGTCAGGTTGGGGATTTCCCCCCTTTTTTTCTCCTCATTGTGGTGGAAAACGAGGCATGCATGCATCAGCTTGTGAAACTGTTAGTCTATTACAGTTGTCATGATTAGTATGTGGAGCATGAAATTAGACAAAACTTAGGTGCAGTACCATAGGTGCTTTTGGTGTTGTTCTCCAATCATAAAAATAATTTTACTTCTGCTAACCATTGCCATAAAGGATGACATTGAAGGCTGGTACAGGGTTGAAACACCAATTTTTATTGGAGAATAGTGCCAAAAGTACCTATGATAAGTTTTGTCCTATGAAATTCATGAAAATATTCAGTAATCAGCATAATATTAGAGTAATAGGTTTTCTTAGTGACAGCTTGTAAAAAGTTTATTTTCTTTCTTTTCTAATTTCTGCTAAGTCTAAATCTCCTGTTGAGGATGCATGTGCTTCTTAGCAACAAATAAGATAAGACATTGTTGGTTCAAGAGAAACACATGAGCTTTTTGGGCCAGTACTATATGATTCAAGTGTTACTCCAAAAGTTTTAGGCTTTTTGGCAAAGTTTTTTATGATCTCTAATGTTTGTATATCTCACCTTCTTTTATTGTACTCAGTAAATAGCTTAATTCTACTTTTGTCTGTGTCAACTCATTTTATACATCTAGTTTATGGCCAAAGGTGTCATCTGCAAGTTACACGACTCCTTGCTCAGCTTACTTGTAGCTTGAGATTTGGGAATCTAATCTGTGTTTTCTGTCGATAAATTTAGGTGGGACAGCTTGATTCTGATGCAAGGTCAAAGGAGGACTGTTGGATCCTTCCCAGCAATTGTTAGTATGATGCAAGGGCCTAATTCTAGTGGCACTGATATGAATCATCAGTCTTCCTTGAATCATGTGCAAAATGCAGTAGATTTTAGGCTGTCAGATTATAGGGGGTCTTCTGGTGATGCCGCATGTTTACGTGGTACTGGTCCTAATGTTCAGAGTTTCAGTGGCTGGAATCCTGGTGAACCTAGTTCTAGACTAAATATGATTAACCAAGTCAATGATGATGGTCTAAAATCAGAACATGGACTGTCTTCTTCATATAGTGCTGCTACTGAGGATGGTCTCAGATCTGAAGAAAGGCAATTTGAACCAAATAATGCAATCTTTCCTGTTTCTAATCTACATGGGAATCAATCTCGAAGTCACCCTTCCTTTCTGCAAGGTTCCAGTTCCAATCATATAAACCAGAATATTAGTCTGAATACGGGGCACATTGCTAATGCTGCTGATCGTGGGAAGGGAAAAGAAGCTGGTGGTAGTGTTAATGACAACAATACTAGTGGATCAGATAAAGAGAAGACATCATTTGTCAGTGCTTCTTGTACTCATATAGGAACTTCATCTGAAAGCTCTGGATACATGGCTTGGGGTGATTGTGCGAGTTCAAGTTCCTTAGTTAATTGGGGTCCTTCTTGCAAGAGGAAGGCCCTTGAAGGTAGTTCTAGGCAACTCAGTACTGGAGGCAGCTCAAGCTCTCTTGTGCAATCTGAAAATGATTGCTGGCCTACTGATCCTGTTGATCTTAATGCTTCTACTAGCTTAAGTGATTCTACACCTTCAGAGGATATTCCAGTTACTGCTGCTCCATTACAGCAGAACACAATAAATGAAGTGAGACAAGAACCTTCCAATGCATTTCCTTTGATTAGTGTTGCAGAAAATGTGGAAAGGCCTCTAAGAAACTTTGATAGAAGAATGACCCAAATTCAGCGTCAGGAATCTGTACCTCTCAATTTACCATCGGCAGGGAGTGCTAGGCATCATAATCATTCTTCTCTGCATCAGATACCTGGCTCTAACTCATTTAATGATTCTTTGGAGTTGAGGTTAACAGCTGGAGTAACAGCTGCTAATTCTGGTGGTGCTCTGAACCCGTCCCCTGCCTTGCGCATGCATCCTTTTCCTTGGAACAGACCTACTAATCAAAGAGGGGCCAGATCTTCAACTTCTTATAATTCTGGAGAAAGAGCTGTACGGGAGGATTTTAATTTAAGAATCTTTCCAAGAGATAATACTGAGCACCCCATGAATTTACCTGAATCTTCAGGACATGAACCTACAGCATGGCATACATCTTCTGGTATTGTGAACAATTCTGGAGGTGTACCTCCAACGTCCTGGATTGGATCTAGTTCCAATGTCCACTCATCACCTAATCCTAGCTGGATATTTAATCATGAAGTGCCCACAGAAAATCTGCAGAGAGTGTCGGAGTTCAGTCCTTGGTCCTTTTTTCCATCAATTAGCTCTGCATCTGGTGTTCATAATGGTCATTCTACCCCGTCTCCTTCTGGCCCTCCTTCATTTACCCAAGGTTCTAGCAGCAATCAACCATATCTAAGAACAGCATTGTTGATGGAAAGAAGGGGTGGTGATGTTCTCTCTGCTCCCCATTCACTGCGAGCATTAACCTTTGACAATGAGGGGAGACGCCGGCTAATATCTGAGGTATCATTTCTATTTGTTTTTCTTTTTATGAAATATGTTACACTATTATTTGAAGGCTGTATTTCGTAACAAACTATAATCCATAAAGCTAGTATTTATAATTTCAAAGATAAGATATGTGTGCAAATGAATAACATAATTTTTCATGGATTCATATCATTGTCTGACAATAATTATGGTCTTGATGCTCATCTAATTTCTTGTACTGCCTCATCTTTTCATAACTTTTCAGTTTACTTTTCTTCAGAATAGCTATTTGTAGCAGCCAACTAACAAGCATCTTGAAAAAGTGAAATCTTATTGACAAATCAGCTAAATTTGGTACATCATTCTACCTGAACTAATTATCTGATTGTTCCATGTGCCAGATTCGCCAAGTCTTGATTGCAATGCGGAGGGGTGAGAACTTACGAGCTGAGGTTCGATCTTTAGTGTTGGAGGATTTATTATCATTGGTTGATCACACTTGATGTTGATGGAGTTTCAATGTTTCTATTTCTCTTTCGTCGTAGAGACAAACTCATCTAAGAATGAATTCATGTTAGGTTTTAGTACTTATCACCACTGGAACCCTCTTATTGAGTGGAGTTGAAGGGATAATGTAACCACAAATGCTGGTTATATCTTCTGTGTTAGTGTGTTTGCATTTTTTTATATAAAATTTACCTTATTTTCACAATTCTATTCAAATTGGCATGTTAGTTTATGCATATACATAAGCTGCAAAATAAATATTTGCAGAAGAAGTAAGCACAAGCCTGTTGGCTTGATAGATACTCTGGACTATTGAAAATGCTAACTTATTTAGAGTTTTTCCTTTTACAATTGTCAATATGTCAGGATTATATGCTCTTCGACCCATTCCTATATCATGGCATGGCTGAAATGCATGACAGGCACAGAGAAATGCGGCTTGATGTTGACAACATGTCTTATGAGGTAAAAAGGGGATATATGGTATTTGCAGCCTTTAGCAACGTTGCTCTGTGTTAATTATTCTGACTTCAACTTGGATTGCAGGAATTGTTGGCATTGGAGGAGCGAATTGGAGACGTGAGCACTGGATTGAGTGAGGACACGATTGTTAAGTTGATGAAACAGCGACTTTTCATGTCTGTCATGACTGAGTCTTCTACAGATCTTGAACCTTGCTGTATATGTCAGGTATGAATAATGGATGTAAGGGACATGAGAAGTAATATGGCGCATCTAACTTGTTTGCTTTCATACTTTCTGTAATTTTATTGTTTTCCTTTGACTGTAGGAGGAATATGCTGATGGAGAGAATGTTGGTTCACTAGATTGTGGGCATGAGTTCCACAGTGAATGCATCAAGCAGTGGTTATTGCAGAAAAACCTGTGCCCCATTTGCAAAACAACGGCCTTAGCTACATGATAGAGAGAACCTCTATCTTCTGTCAGTTTGATCTTTAGCTGGCTCTATCTATAATTTACTTTATGAACTTTTTCTCCCTTAAGAGGGACAAGTCCTCTTATTTGTTAAGATTGGGAACAAAAACATACCCAACAAAAAAAAATAAAAAAAATTAAACAAGAAACATTGGTGGGTGAGCTATAATAGAGTTTCATTTATACTGTCGTAATGGACAATTACATGTCGTTTATGATAGTTATAAGCACTTGAATATTATTGAATTTCATTATAAACTTAAGGTTGGTGGATGCTGAAAGGATTATATAGATTACCTTGGGTACTTCCAAGATGTAGAAGATAGTGTCATTATGTTTGATTCATTTAGTTTTTCTTAATGTTTTTAAATTTGGATAGGTGATTGAGTTAGTGAATGCATTGTTTCTAGATTTAATGATTTAATTGTGGTTCAAGTTGATACGAACTTATGATGATAAAATAATGTTTTTAATATTATATAATAAATTAAATAACATACCAATGTAAAATTGTAGAAAAATTAAGCAACATTTCCAACTAATATAAAAGGACCATGTTACATGTTCTACTAGATAAAAAAATTATTATTATTTAAATTTTTTACCATTAAAACATTTTTTAAAAATAAATGTAAAAGAAATAATTTTATTTTGGAAAAAAAAAAATAGTTTTGACTGATTCTAGCCAATTCTTTGACCAATTTGATTGGTTCTTGACTGGTGGCACGAATACACCTATCAATAGTCTTAATTTACAGTTCACATTACTTAACTCACTATAGTTCTCTTATTTTTAAAGTTTTGTAGTTACTAAGCTTCCATATACATAAAAAATGTGATTTAGAGTTAGAGATAAGTTAGTTTATTTTTAACAGCATAATTAATAATTATTATATATTTTTTTATAAAAGATAGGCAAGAAAAAAGAATTGTTATTTTTAATTTCTTACATAATAATAAAATTATTCATGAACGTAATATATATGATAAGTTTGCTTGACATATTACTATAAGAATTAAGGTGTCAAAAGTTTATATATATATATATATATATAGAGAGAGAGAGAGAGGGATAAGATTTTTTTACATTAGTATAAATCTAAAAACTCTTAGATCAAATATTAACCTTTCATTTGATTTACATTTAACAGGTTAATTTATTATTTTATTGGCCGTTAGATATAAGTTAAATAAAAGGTTCAGATTTAATGTAAGTTTTTAAACTTATAACGATGTAAAAAGATTTTTTTTCATATATATATATATATATATATATATAATTAAGATAAAAGTTAAATTTAGTTGATATTTTTCTATTGTTAACTCATGTATTTATTGTGATTTAAAAAATATTTATTGAATATGAGATAATAAAATATGATTATTGTTAACAAAATTAATTTTTGTAATATTTTTATAAAAATAAATCAAAAAAATAATATAAAATATTATAACAAAAATTTTATAATTAATATTCAAATATTTTGAAATAATGTTCTTGATAATAAATTATTATTTTTTCATATTATTTAATAACAATAATTTATTTAAAATACTTAACATTCTATAAATTTAATTATTTGTCATATATTTTTTAAGCAATTTTATTTATCTATAAGTCAATAAAAAAATATAATATATAAAATAATTTCTTTTTGCTAAACATAAAATAATTGTTTTTAATGAACTATTTCGTAAGACAGTGTATGATCATTATATCAAAAAGCAAGTTAAAATAATTTTTTAAAAATATAATTGACACATAAATTAATCATAACTTACATAATCTTGTTTTGATTTTCTCTCTGAGTTTTTTATATAATAAACTTTTTAGTCATGTGAAATTTCAGACTCTAACTTAAGTTAGAACTAAATTAGTTACTACTGAACCGTTTAACAGCTGAAGAGATGATTAATTCTCAATCCAACGTCTGGTCTAATTTTCAGAATTATATGATTTTTCTCAATGCCAATTTGAACCGACTCTCCAATAGGATACCAAAATTGAAAGCATGAAAATATCTCACTAACTAAATAAATAATATATATTAGGTTGATTTAAGAATTGCTGTTAGCATTAATATAGAGGTCAACATTCTAATAAAATTTTTGTCAACGGAAATTGTAAACGTACAGCTTGGAAAATCAAAGGTTTCTCAATTGCTTTCTAAGAAAAAGATTATTTTGTTTGAAGCATCGATATTAACTAGAAATTAAAAATTTAAATATATATTTGTTAGGGCTTGCTTATTTTTGTTTTGTTTTTTAATATTTAAAAATTATATTTTAAAATAATTTAAAAAATTATTTTAAAAAATAAAATAAAATTTGTTTGATAGTTTAGTTTTCAAAATAAATAAGTTCATGCAAAACTTATCACGTATTATATTAAAAATAAAAAATATTTTTAAAAATAAAAACAAACAAATTCTTAGTCTTTTTGTTATTATTTTAATATGTATTTTCAAACACCATTTAAATAATAGTAAATGAAAATTTCACTTTTACTAAAATAATTTAGATTTGAACATAAATTATTTTAAACTTGAAAAACTTCAACAATTTGTAGATATCATATAAAAAAAAGATTAATTAAAGTAACAAGAAATTCTCTGTTTAAAGATACAAATAGATATATATAAAATCAATTTTTATTTGAAATAAAATATATAAAACTCTTAAAAAATACTAAGATGTCAAAAATTAATACTTCGGTCAATGAATTAGCTTTGTATAAGAAAAAAGAAAGAATATTTGATAATTATATAGATTAAAACAAATATTATACAATAGCACAATCTTAAAAATATAAAATTACCTTTCTAAGAATATCAATTTATCCTTAAAACAAACCTTAAACAACTCTACAATCTTTCCATATAATTTTACCTAAATAAAGAATTTATCTACTTTGACATGACTTGTTTGACCATGTTGAACTAGATTGTGGGTAATGTCACATGTAACTTTAGTTGCAATATAGGTGAACAAATTACATGAATTGGTATCCACAATATTGCAAAAGTAATCTTAACTATACACTTTTTAAAATTCTATTAATAGATACTTTGAATAAACTTCTAATTCATTCATTTTCAGCTTATTTACTAAATTACTCAACTAATAGTATTACATAACATAATTTTCAATGACTTTTGATTCTATTTCTTGTCTTTCATTTTATTGTATTAACATTGAGTCTATAAATAAGTGCAATAACTCTTCTTTTATAACACACATCAATATTGAATTCATTCTATAAGGTTAAGGTATAATTTTTTTAATATCCTTTTTTTTTCTTATGCACACTCTACTCCACCATGAAGAACTTTATTCTTTATATGGTATCAAAGATCCTTGTATAAGGGCTTTGCCATCACTTTACTTTGCACTATTCTTGATCTATCAAGTCCATACTATTTGAATTTCAATAAAAATTATGATATTTTACTTGTTTCTGAGCGGTTGCATGGTGTCAATTTTTATTCTTGGCCCAAAAGCATGACAATGAAGTTAAATTCAAGAACATTTAAGTCTTTTTTGATGGGTACACTGCTTAAATCTAAAGCTAGTAATCTTTTGTTTAGTACACCAGATAGGTGCAACATTATGGTAGTTTCTTAGTTGCATCATTCAATTGATTCCTTCATTCTTCAAAATATTTTATGGATTGAAAAAACATAAATATAGGAAGATATCAAAGAACTTTACTTTCAAGGGGATGTATTCAAGATTATCGACATACAAGAAGAAATGTATACCTACAAACAAGGTTATTTATCAATTGTTGTTTATTTCACGTACCTAAAATTCTATGGAAAGAATTGGACAATCTCAAACTAGTGCCTTTGTGCTCTAATAGAATTACTTGCTCATGTTAATTTACTTTTTTATGATGAAATTATATATAAAAAAAAATGATTATGTTATATCTTTTCTAAGAGGATTAAATAAGCAATATGCATAAATGAAATCACAAATCATGTTAATGGATGATAAATGATTAGGTTAATAGTTTTTTTTCATTATTGATTTAGCAAGAAAGAGAAATCGAGGTTTCTCTTGAGGAACCCATGATTCTTGCTAATACAATATAAATGATTGCATTATAGTGGAGGAAGAGGAATGTTTAAGAGCTAAGGTCATGGACAAGGACCTTGAAGAAACCATGGAGGAAAGAATTCAAATTTCAAGCAATGCTCGTATTGCAATAACACCAATCACATTGATGATATGTACTACAAGAAACATGCTTTTCCTCTAAATTATAAGAAAATAAGGGTTATGAATTATGTTAGTACTCATGATTACAAGTTTAGTGATGATGAAAAAGAGAAACTGACACACCTTTAAGACAAGTTTGAGTTTTGCACTTGAGTATTACAAAGCTTTGTTGGTACTCTTGCAATAATCTTCTACCTTACAAAATCGTAGTGTGAATCAATTCTCTATTTCAAATTTCAAAGGTGTCAATAATTTTGTTATTCTAAAACAATGTCTCAAATATGATATACCCACTTAGCTTCTTGATTACAAAGCAATAGACCATGTCTGTTATTCATAGTTTTCTAAACTTATAGACCAACAAGACCTATAACCTGTAAAACTATCAAATGGTGATCAAGTAATAACTAATATATCTAGAATTGTTTCTTTCACCAATTATCCTATTCTCACTGATGTCCTTTACATTCCTTATTTCAATTTTGACATGATTTTTATTTCTAAATTGACTTCCTCAATTTATTGTAAATTAATCTTTCTCTATTCATCTTGTTAGATCTAGGAACAACACTCACTAAAGATGATTGGTGTAGCTAAACTTAAAGGAAAACTTTATACAATGACTTCAAACAATAAAAATGTCTTTCAAACTTGTAAATTCTTATTATGTGAATAACACCTTGAATTCTATGTGTAATATTTGACATTTCAGTCTAGGTCACCATTTGGTAGACTCTTTGTTTTACGAAAAATTTACCATTAAATCAATTATAATAAATTTTCAAATCCTTATGAAAATGTCATCTTGCTAAACAAGAAATTAAAATTTCCTAACAATATAAGTATGTGTTAGTGCATATTTGATATTATACATATAGACATGTCAGTGCATATTTGATATTATACATATAGATATATGAGGTTTAATTATTCCTACTAATATTGGTTATAAATACCTTTTAACCATTGTAGATGATAAATCAAGATTTACTTGGATTTACTATATGAAATTTAAATCAAGAAATAGTACTCATATTATA